GCGTTGTGGACTGTCCCTCTTGGACTGTATGCGCAAAGTCACTTGCTGCTGCTGCTGCTGCTGCTGCTGCTGCTGCTGCTGCTGTTCCTGCTGCTGCTGCTCGTTCTTGCTGTTGCTGCTGCTGCTGAGCCATTGGCGTTGCTGCTGCTTTCGAGTCTGCTGCTCCCGCTGCTGCTCGTCCCTAAGCCTTGTGCAGGACACCACCCCCAGAACCAGTGCCATGCCAGCAGGAGCAGCAGCAGCAGCAGCAGCAGCAGCAGCAGCAGCAGCAGCAGCAGCAGCAGCAGCAAGGGAGGTGTACATACACTACACGGCTTCGTGTGTCTGCTTCTGCCCACAGGCTTGGGCGGAAGAGCTGCCTGAAGGAATACCGAGGTCCAGCAGCAGCAGCAGCAGCGCAGCAGCAGCAGCAGCAGCAAGACCAAAGGGCATTCTACAGTCTTCCAGTAACCTCCCGCTGCTGTTGCTGCTGCTGCTGCGGATACTTGGATTGCTGCTGCTGCTTCTGCTGTTGCTCCCTTTGCTGCTGCTGCAGCTGCTGCTGTGCTGCAAGCCCCATATCGCGACGCCCGCCGACCTGCTGCTGCAGTTCCACCCCCTACTGCTGCTGCTGCTGCTGCTGCTGCTGCTGCTGCTGCTGCTGCTGCAGGCCGGCGCAGCGTGCCGCAGTGCCTCTCCACTTCGGGGCCTCTGCCCCACGGGCTGTCTCAGGAGACATCGGAGGAGCTGCGGCGTTTGCTGCCGCGGGGTCGCGTTGCTGCAGCAGCAAGCCGGCTGCTGCAGCAGCACACAGCAGCAGCAGCAGCAGCAGCAGCAGCAGCACCAGCAGCAGCAGCAGCAGCAGCAGCAGGTCTCTGCAGGGCGGCTTCCGACTCTGCTGCTGACGGAGCACTCGCCAGGGGCTTCGCGTACGCGGGGCCCAGGGCCACAAAGGTGGGCTGGCGAGGGTTTGGGGTTTAGGGTTTAGGGTTTAGGGTTTAGGGTTTAGAAAGCAACTTTGCCAGTTAGCGAAATCGAACTCAAGATCTTCTTGCTGCTTCCTTTTTGTTTTTCAGGCAATTTGTCCCTCAGCTGAAACGCCCCCGCACTCCATTGGCAAGGTCCTGAGGGTTTAGGGTTTAGGGTTTAGGGTTTAGGGTTTGGGGTATAGAATTTAACGGCAGTACGGGGAGGCTTTCTAGCTTTGTTGCAGATGTCAGGAAGTTGCCGGAAGGTTTGGGGAAGGGTTTAGGGCTCGGGGTTTAGCGTTTAGGGCTAGGGTTTAGGGTTTAGGGTTGAGGGTTTAGGGTTTAGGGTTTAGGGTTTAAAGGTTGCTGATGCGCTTGTAGGTTCAAGAACTGCGACGCGCTTTTGAACCCTGCTCAGCTTCTGGGCGGCTGAGAGAGCCCCAGGGCTAGACAATGTAGGGTTTAGGGTTTAGGGTTTAGGGTTTAGGGTTTAGGGTTTAGGGTTTCAAGTGTCTTTGGGGCGTCCTGTGGCCCTCGGCGAGGCAGCTGAGCTTTTCGAAACTGAAAGAATCACCGCTGTCTCTTTCAAACCCTAAACCCTCAGCCGCAAACCCTAAACCCTCAGCCCCAAACCCCAAACCCTAGAAGGCCCCATCCGCAGGAAGCCACCGTGGTTTGTGGCGCAGGGTTTAGGGTTTAGGGTTTAGGGTTTTGGGGTTTACGGTTTCAAGACGAGGAGACTGGACAACAAAGAAGGAAAATTTCAAAGACAGCGGCAGAGCCAGAGGCAGGAGCGGGAAAGCAGCGAGACAAAACCCCAAACCCTAAACCCTAAACCCTAAAAGAGGGAGTAGCGGCGACGTTGGGCGCAGCCTTGTTTGGATCCTTCCACTGCACCTTTATTTATGATTTAATTAAACTTTATTTATAATTTAATTAAATTGTGGATTTATAATTTGCTTTTTTCACCTTCAACACTCCATCACGAGCTGTATAGACACCTCAGAAATGCCTCGAAGTGAGGAGCGCGCACTGCCGCAAACAATTTGTTCGTTTTTCCCAAATATTTTAAATTAAAAGCTCAATTAATTAATTAATGCATTATTTTGTTTCTTTATTTTGTTTTGGACACTCAAAAGTGTTTCTTTTTTCTTTTTTTGGCGTTTGCCTTCGGCGGCTGCAGAAGGTGACCTGCACGTACACCCGAAACGGCGGCGCAAAACACCCTAAAAAACGCTTTATTTGAATCAAATTAAATCTAAAAACAAAACAAATCATTTATTTTAATTTATATTTTCTATTTGTTTCATTTAGAAGCCTTTTTGAGGAGATTTGAAGGGTTTTTCCTTCCTGGCGGCAGCAGCCGCAGTCCTTCCACCGGCGGATGCCCTCGCTCTCTCTGCATGTTTTTGGGGTTTTTCTCCATTAAAAAGAACCATTTTAATTTAAATAATTAAATTAAATTAATTAATTGCATTTATTTAATTTATTTTGGCAAAAATGGCAGCAGCAAACTCCAAACAACCCCACCGCCGCAGCCACAGCAACACTCACCACCCGGCTGTGGGGGCCGGGGCCCCTCAGAGACTTCTGCTGCACAAGAAATCGAAAAAAGCTGCATTTATAATTAGGGTTTAGGGTTTAGGGTTTAGGGTTTAGGGTTTAGGGTTTAGGACTAGGCTTTAGAGCTCGAGAGTTTCAGGAAGAACGAGGGGTGTGCAAGTGCTTTTACCACAAACCCTCATCACCACCATCCCCTGCCCGCTGGCCCCTAGGGTTTAGGGTTTAGGGTTTAGGGTTTAGGGTTTGCCTTTCTCCCTTTTTTTTTCTTTTTTCTACTTTTCCAAATTCTCTTGCTTCTTTATACAAGTGCATCTGCAGCCGCAACTCCCTGCGGCTCTCCCGCTAAACCCTAACGCTAAACCCTAAACCCTAAACCCTAAACCCTCGCCAGACACAAACCCTCGCTGGACTTCTCCTTCGCCCTTGAGTTGCTCAGCAGAAGCAGCCAGTAGCCTTCATCAAGATGGTGAGGACAAGGGTTTACGCATTGGGGTTTAGGGTTTAGGGTTTAGGGTTCAGGGTTTAGAGTTTAGGGTTTAGGGATTAGGGTTTAGGGTTTAGGGATTAGGGTTTAGGGTTTAGGGATTAGGGTTTAGGGTTTAGGGTTTACTTTTTTGTTTGCGGTTCATGCACTGCTGCTGCTGTCCCCTCATCGGCTTTTTCTCGGGTCCTAAACCCTAAACCCTTTGTGGCTTTACTGCTGCTGCTGCTGCTGTTGTTGCTGCTGCTGCTGCCCTTGCTGCTGCTGCTGCTGCTGTTGCTGCTGCAGCCGGGGAGCCAAAACCACGAGTCGGAGGAGGAGCGCGGAGTCGGAGGAGGAGCGCGAGGCTCGCAGTAAGCGTCAACCTGAGCCCTCACTTATTCCCCGATTTAGGGTTTAGGGTTTATGGTTTAGGGTTTAGGGTTTGGACTGCGTTTTGTTTGGGTTTAGTCTCTGACCCTGAGATTGATGAAGGAGACCCAGAGGAAGAAGATGTGCCAGAAAACGATGAGAATTACGACTACCTGCAGGTGGTTTAGGGTTTAGGGTTTAGGGTTTAGGGTTTAGGGTTTAGGGCTTAGGGGTCTGTTTCGTGTTTGAAGTCCTTTCTGTTTCATCAGGGTTTTGGGTTTGGAGGTGTATAAGCAGGTGCTAAAGGCCGCGCTTCCGCAGCAGCCTGTGCCCTGTAGGGTTTAGGGTTTAGGGTTTAGGGTTTAGGGTTTAGGGTTTTGCGCAGGCGACTCGGCGGCTGGACGCGGACGAGCTGCAGGCGGAGGAAGAAGGCGAAAGGCTAATAGATGAACAAGCAGATGATGGTTTTGTTTTTGGAATGAAGTGAGCGCGAGTTTAGGGTTTAGTCTCTAGGGTTAGGGTTTAGGGTTTAGTGTTTAGGGTTTAGGGTTTAGGGTTTAGGGTTTAGGGTTTGACTGCCCAGGGACGACGAACGCGAGGCCCAGGCCTTCT